AGGGGTCAATATAAAAAAACATTGTTTTTCTTTAAGAATATCTGTGGCTTATTAAATTAGTGGCACTAATGATGAGGTCAGGGCATTAAGATCAAACCCTACATATGCCAATCAGTTTTAAAGAGAAGAGTTTTTTTTTTATAGCCAATGACTGGACTAACTTTGACCAGCTGTCATACAAATGCATGGCTGGTGGTCTGTGAGGTACCAAGCCAAAAAATGCCAAGGCACAGCATAAATCCAGCCCTACTCAAGCAATGCTAAGTAAATTGGGTGACTATATCTTTGAATGACCCAAATTGGACCATCTCTGCTTTAATTGGAAGGCAGCATCAATAGGCTGGGGGGAAACTTTTGGTCAAGGTTTAGAAGGCTACAGATTCTTATTTTTTCCTTCTAAATTAATAAAGGGCAGCTAAAATCTGACCTCACTTGTCCCCATCATGTCCAAGAGAGTGAGAAAAATGTAGATGAGACCTGTCTGTTGGTCTTTCCCAGCAAAGGAAAATGGCAATCTACTTTCAGGAGGTATGTGCTCCTTTGACCAGATGAGCTGTGTATATTCTCTGAGGGGTTGAAAACCAACTTAAACAAACAAACAAAAAAGAATGTGGTTCTTCTTTCTTTAAGTGGGCGTAATCTTCTCTTAGGGAACAGACAGAATCTAAAGAAGATAAAGGAGATGAAAGATTCTTTGGTCACTACTTAAACCCAAGGTCCACCTTTCTTGAGTAGTGCCAAATCTTTATTAATTACAACCTAGACTATGAGTCTGTTAAAGTTGGAAGAGGTCATTTACTTTAACAAAATCTCCTTGTTTTATAGACAAGGACATTTCAACCCAAGAAGTTTAAGTGTTTGCCAAAGTCTTACAACTAATGAGTGACAGGTCTGGGAGCAGTTTTCTGAGCACAATATTTCAAATGAAAGAAACTTGAGTTAATAATAATAACCTAGATGGAGGAAGGTTGTTTCAATCAATAACAATGAAATTCATGGCAAAGTTTCACGTGAACTCTATATAAACAGTATGTTTTAACACACAAAGAATGCCATTTGTTTATTCAGATCTGTTCTTAATAACTATGCATTGGAAGTACGTTTTATAAAAGCTATAAATCTGGAAGATCTGAAAGGGTAACCAACTTTCTTTTCTAATTGATTTACTTCTCTGTTTTTTTCCAGACTGCCGAGGTAAAGCATATACAATTTATTTAAGGGATTGTTTATAGACTACTAAAACTAAAAAGGACCCCAGAAACTCACTTTCTTTTAGCTGCTGTTAATTGAAACCATCCAAGATGGTTGGTTGTCCATCAATATTTTTTAATTCTCTCCAAGGAGAGAAATTCCACAAGCCCTTGAAGAATTTGTTAAAATGGTTAATGGCTCTCAAAAATTATGTCTATAGTAAACTTAATGTTTCCTATTTCACTGGAAGATCTTTTCCTCTTGCAATTCCACACAAAATGAGGTTATAACAAACCACCCTCTGTGAAAGCTCCATCAATCTGGTAAGATAACAGCTAGCTGTTTTTCAATGTGCCACCTCTATTAAGCCACCATTTTTCTCATAGGACTATGAGCACACAAGACTGGATACGCTCTCTTACTCTGATGCATAGGGAAGAATCAGTAATTAGCTCTTCATTGGAACTTTCATTTCAGAAAATGTCTGGGGAAGCTGCATTAATTATAGAGGAAGTGTTTCATTTAGCTGGGAAGATGCTTACAACAAAGATAATCTAGATAGTTGTTTTCCACAGTGCTCTAGTGGGACTGGGGCTTGTAGAGAAATATGAGCTCATTCACAACACTGGGTCAATCTATACAAAATTAGCATGACAGAAAATTTTATTCAGTTGTGTTTCTAATAAGGTTAAAAAAAATCTTTCCTTGTTAAACATTCTGGCCCAACAAAAAAAGATAGATATGGAGGCAGTTTTCTTTCAGATGTTTGAATTTCAAACTAAGATAAAAAACTGCCTTCCACTACTAAAAAAAAATTATACTTTCAAAATGGATTTTCAAGCAGCTTAAGGTACAAGGCGCAGCCACAATAAAACTTTGAAAATAAGGGTAAAAAAATAGTAAGAGTCAATTTACAGGGGATGGAGGTGGAAAAGACTGCTTTGTTCTAATAAGATTTCAAAGACTGTAAATGCTTAGAGCTGACTTCTCCACACACAGTAAATCTCAGGGGACAAACAGGAAACTAAATAAAATTTGTTGACAACAGTTAATGCCTGTAAGAATAATTGGCTCAGACACAAAATAGACCATCATTGTAGCTTGGGGAATAACTAGAATGCAGCTATAAGTTTGTTAGTATATATTGCATTCTTTTTTAAAAAAGTAACAGTTTTATCAAATAGCTGCATAAATATGAGGTGAGAATTGTCCAAAGTACTTGATAAACCTAATTCTTGATGGTGTTAAAGACTAAAATCTCAAACAAGTAATTCCATTTTATTCAACTGGATTCAATTCAACTCAATTCAATCCTGTCAGTTCAACAAATATAAGCCACTACTATAGTAGCCAGGCATTGAGTGAGGTATTGGGGTTTAATGGTAAATAAATATAGCATTTCACATCAAGGAGCCCATTGAGAGGGTAAATCCTGGTTAGGTGATTTCAAAAATGGGACAACATATTCAGGAAAAGTATAAATGATTCTAATCTAATCTCCCATTGTTATTTTTCTCTAATGACACTTGATAATACTTATGTGCATTTTTTAACCTCCCAACTAGTGACTAGACTGTGAATTCTTTGAAGGCAAAGTCAATCTCTCTCATTTGTTTCTAGGTCTCATTGATGACTGGTATAGGGTCTTACACAGAGCAGATGTTCCATCAATGTTTTGAGTTAAAGGATTTAAATGGGCTAACTTCTCTTGGGCAAATAGGATTATCCAGTTGAGTAGAAAGTTAATAAGAATACTTTTGTGCATGAGGGTTGACATCAGGGAAAGGATTTACATAAGCCACAGAATTGTATAAAACAGAACTTATGAAACATAGACTCTCAATGACAACGCTGACGATAATAATACACAATTTATAAAACACCTTCCTTTTCAAAGTCATACTCTAAACATCAAGAGTTGCCATAGATTAATGTGCCCTTTTCAATTTCAAAGCATTTCCTTAAATTGGATTATTGTAGTAATAATAATAGAATCCTTTCAGTGCCTTGAAGTTGGTTTCCATCATAGCTGTCCAATACTCTTAAGTGTCAGTGTGAACATATATATGTACCATGGGGTTACTTGGGATGAAATCATTCTTTCCATTCTCATTTTACCATCATCGTCATTGGAGGATCCAGTTTCCATGCACTGTGCATGGAAATCCTGGAGCATATCACGTTGATCAGGACACTTCAACCTGGCACATAACAGAAAATACTTGTGGGCTTGGTAATCACCTGGTGAACTGGATCAAAGGAAACTACACAAATGGATTATCAAGGCAAGAGAAATCCTCTTGAGCATAATAAGTGAGGACTACTTATTCATTTTTAATGTGGACCAGTAGCAGCACCGTAAAGATTAATGACAACCCTTTGCTGAGGGAAGTTGATGAGACACATTTGCCTTTTGTAAAACAAGTCTGCTGCTTGATAAGAACCCACCTGGTGAACTCATTCATCTGCACTGCAACCAAGAGCTGGACAGAATCACGTTATTGCCAGAGAAATAGATGAATTAGCTCAATTAAAGTATTGGCTGGAAACAGAGTGGGATTTTGCCCATTCAAATAGTAGAAAGCACATCTCATTCTCTGTCACTAGTTGTTTAAATTCTATTTGTTGCCAAATCCACAATGTGTACAGATCATCAGTCCTCCTTTCAGCCTCTTCCTTCCCATCCCTCCACCCACCCACCCCAGAAACCTATACATGGACCCCTGTCCCAGCGCCCCTCCTACGCCCCTTCCCCACACCCACCACCTTCCCTGGGAAGAAGATGAGAAAGACTTGAAATGTGTGAGTCAACCCGGGAGCTATTCAAAACTTAGTGGGTGACTGAGGTAAGCTGTCTACACTTGAGCGATATGAAGCTCTAAGAATGATTCATGCTCACCGAGGACCTGAGCGTCAGTTTTCTGGAACTCTCCAAAATTCAAAAAAAAAAAATTATACAGAATGAACATCTGGCATTAGATTTCACTGTACTGTAATGTACAAGCTTCTGGCATAGATTCTTTAAGTGATGAGTTCCCTCAGGCAGCACCGACTTTTGTTTGTGCTTATTATTTGCAAGTGTTGACTTGGCTGTCTACTTTTTATTGACTGTCGACTTTTTAATCACCTGAGACCTCTGTGTGGAATAAGTAACCCCACACTTGTCAGAAACCCCTTTCCAGATGGTGATATCACTGGAGAGCCTCAGAAAAAGGCTGTGCCAAAGGAAGGCAATAAACAAAAACTCAAGGTCAATTTGTGTAGAGGACAAATGAACCTGGCATTTCTGTTTGCATTGAAAAGAGCCTGTGTATTTGCAAACATCCCTTTCAGGGAAGTTCAACTTCTGTCTGTTCCTGGTGATTTCATGTAGCATGGAGACATGGGATGTGCCCTCTTAATTTTTTTCCAAGTCCACCTTATTATTTTACTCCAAATTACTTGGCACTTCAAACAGGTCTACATGTTTCCATATGCTTATATGTGCACACAAAGGTTTAGAGAACAAAAACCTCAATCCCGGAGGGTCATTCTGTCCCCTTCCTTCACTGAAGGGAATGGGAATGGTGAGGGAAAAGCATAATAGTTGCCTGAATGCCCATCAGGAAATAGTTAAAAGACAAACTGCTAAGGAGGAAAATTCCATTTGAAATCTACAAAACCTGCCACAGCCCCACTGAAACACTAGGCTTACTTTAAGGTGAGGAATCGCGGGCTGAGGGTGGCTGCCAGCACGGGCAGTCATTCAGTTCTTCACACACTCTCTGTGGTTGTAAATCCACAGAGCTGTGAGAGGGAGGGCTACTTACTGAAATAAAAGCCCCTGTCTCCACACACGAACTGAAGAGCGTCCACCAGCTCAGCCCCGCAGAGTGTCTCCGGTCCAGCTGTGACGGAGCTGGTGAAGGTGAGCAAGCACAGGGCCAGGTAGAAGAGATGGGAGGACGACATGATGTGTACCTTTACCTGCCGAGGAAACAGAAGGAGGGTCATGTTTCCTCCTGGGACCTTGCAAGAGGATTCGGGGTGGGTCACGGGTGCACTGACCCCCCCACACACATTCCATCACTGTCATGAATCAGAACCACCCTGCACAGAAGGGCAACAGCGTGCACGAGAGACCGCGGGGTGGCCTGAGCTGAGCACATCTGGACACCAAATGACCTGTGTGTAATCCCCTTGCTACTAGGAAACCTTGGAGAAGTCCTCCATGGACCCCTTCTTTATGGGTTCCTAAATCTTTTGAATTATCAAAAGTTAAATTGTGCTCAGTCCAGATTTGGTGCCAAATATGTTTTATTAATTTACATTCTCTAAAGACAGGCCATCCACAGATAGCATATGCATTCATTATTGACCAGAATATTAAATTAACCAGAACATCCTTCCCTAGCTACTGATTAAAAAGAACTTACTGTGGCTTATAAAAATACTATATATCATTATAGAGTTGTTTTTTTTTCTTTGAGAGAGAGAGAGAGAGAGAGAGAGAGAGAGAGAGAGATTTCTTACCTGGGGGATATCTTACCTACGGAAGTTAACACAACCACAAGTGGGAATATAAAAAACAGAAACAAGAAAAAATGTGAGGATTTAGGAATGAAATTGGCTCTTGCTAAGTAGACCCTACTCTTTCTGCATTCTAAAGCCCTTTGTGTCAAGCTCAATATCACATCAACACGTGTGTAGAGAATGCTTTCCATGAACAGGGCACCAGGCTCAAAACCTACAAAAGCTTTTTTTTTAAGTCCCAGGAATTCTGACTTCACCTCTTGGAGGGACTTATGTGACACTGGATAAATTTTATAGCAAAATATACTGAGGGACCCCTGGTTGGCTTCACTTCGCAGTGACAGACAGCCAAGTGGCAGCCCTGCCAGAGGCAGAATTCCTGTGGCTCACAGCTCCATCCTCACTCTCAGTAGAAGAAACAAGGCTAAGGTGATCATTAAGTGTTTCCATATTGCTACTTGTGGCACAAAGCTGTGGTTTCTTCCAGGAAGGCTCCCAAAGCGAGCAGCTTCCCTGTTCTTAGATGCATCTACTTTCAATAGCATTGGAAGAGTCATCAGAATAGGTTAAGTGAAGGACCCTATTAAAGGTCATGGAGTTAGACTGGAAGCTATTAGGATAAAAAGAGCCTCTTTGGAACCTCCTAGTAATGGCAGGTCCATTCAACCCCATCACTTTTGGAGCAACAGACTCAAGTCATTGATTTTCTGTCATGCTCCTTGCTCTCCATGCACTCTCCACTTAATGCTTCTACATCAGTGGCAAAGTGTGCCCCATCCTTTTAATTAAGATTTCCATGTTGGTAGCCAGACCTTCAGTTCAGAAATTGGGGGTGGGGAGAACCTTGGACTCTTGTTAAACAGTTGACTACAAAAAACACCTTCTATTTGCAAATCATCATAAGTAATGGGCATAAAATAGAAGAGGAGGTAAAAGCACAATTGAACATATCTTCCATTTTCTCAATAGGACTCTACTGGAGTCTTATGGAAACCCTCCACACACATGAAGCCCAAACCACTGAGACTGCTAGAAACAAATCATCAACCAATCCTCATTTTCCTTAGTTATAAAATAATTAGTGGGGCTTTTCCCCTTCAGTATTTCCAGTGGAAACCTCAACAAAACCAACTCAACTGTACTTCATTGCCCTTTCAAAAGAACTACTTGTAATTGATCTTACAGAATATACCCACACTCTGGCAATGGGTCAGTTCTAGGATGTATCCTTATGCTATCAACCTTATTTCTCCATAGTAATGCTCAAAGCCAAGCACTTGCAATTATAGATGCCTTTGAGTTCTTCAGTTGTCATGTAATCCAGGGGAAAAGGTACTCAACTTACAGCCTTAGTGCACTGATAACATCAGTAGATGTCAAAACTATATTTTAAATAGTTATTTCTGGTATAACACATTTAAGCCCAGCAATACATATAAATCTCTAGCATTTAAGAATTTAAGATTTTTTTACAGCTTTTTCTCTTTTGCTTAATTATATTGTCAGATAAATGTCAGCACTTACAGTTCTAGGACAAGATAGAACCTTTAATGCATGTTCCTTTAGTTCACAAAAACAGTTCAGTACACCCACGAAGAACCAAAGAATTTATCACATTATGTGTCCCCAAACAGAAAACAATAATGAACTTGTTTAGGAGTTAAAAGTTTGAAACAAGTGGCCCCATATGTTCATCATTCCCTTGGCCTTTTGTTTTGCCAAACACAAAATAAATGAAGAGAGAGAAAGGAAAAATATGATAGAAAGAAAGGAAGAACCAGAAAGATAAGAGAAAAAAGAGGAAGAAAAAATATCAGAACACTCTTTCTCAAAAATCCCCCACAAATCCAAAATTTAAAAGACTTTTCTTTTTATCTTAAATCAATGGAATATCAATTGATTCCAGATGTCTGGGCTACAATGAAAATGCCTAGCAGAATTTGAGGGCAATAGTCATAAGAAAATACTCACTGTAGGTGTAACCATTTTTGTTTGTTCCAGATCTTTTACAGCAGGTCAGGTTGAGTATTATGAGGCTGATGTGAATAGAAAACTGAGGACTTAAAAACATGTGCTGCTTTGTGGGTGGGGTTTGTGAAAGCATCTAGTTACATTTGGACACCCAAGCAGGTATGCTATGAGTCTGGGTAAACTGCCTTTTGTCCATTCAAACAATGAACAAATTATACAGCTTGGATTTGAGTCAATCTTTTCCCTTCAATCAAGATACCAATTTCCATTGTACCCCAGACAGTGACCCAGGCTCCAGCCCTCTCCCTTACCATCTCCCCTCTGACTCAAACACTTGGAAAATGTCTTAAGACTCAGAGTACAATCCATCACCTTGTGAGTTATGCCTCCAGACAGGACATCTTTACTCCCTGAATGACATCTGAAAGACCACTCACCTCCCTCAAACCACTTCCTGCCCCAAATGCAGGAAAAAGGAACACCTTATTGCTAGCTCTGCTTTTGAAAAGTTCAGCATACACAGCATGGAAAGTTCATTTGGAGACAGTTTTCCAAACTTGTAATTAAGGCAGACATAACACTCAAGGGCCTCTTGTAGGGAGACAAATCCCCCACCTGTCAGACCACATAGCATATATGTATGTTGACTTGATTTCTTTTAAAAGCAAAGTAGCCAGCCTGTGTCTTGGCATCTCAAGGGCAGCAGAATCAGGTGCCCGGACAAGGATGGATCCTTAACTCCTAAGCCACTTACTCAGAAAAGTCCCGGCAGTGGAGGATTTGAAAGCAGCAAATGAATGCAGTACCCAGGAGCAGGGACATTTTATGAATTGAGACCTCAGGCAATTTCATCGGGAACCAGTGACAGCAGCTTAAAAGTGCTTGCAAATTGGAAAAACACATGCCTTGAAGGATATAATTTTGCTGAGAATGGAAATTTGAACTGGGGCCAGTGATTGGAAACGAGAAGTCGCGGCACGGACGGTGGCACCCAAATTGACCTAAAGAGACTTTGCAGCACCGAGTGTAAAGTTCGAGTTTTACAACACAACCCCCCAAGCCCAAACTTCGCCCGAGAAAGTCCTCTTTAAACCAGAAAACTTGGACAAACAGTTACTAGAAAGTTTCTGCTTCCCATATACAGTATGCATTTGTTTAAATTATATGAATATGCAAGTTCAACAAGAGTTGTCAAGTTCTTTTTCAAGAGCAAATTAAACTCCTCTCTAACTTGGACTTTCTGGGCAGAAGTGCAGAGAGTTCCGGGACCTTAGCTCCAAAGATCATATTTAAAAGATTTAATATCATCTAAAATGTAATTCTCTGTATGTGGCATGCCTTATAATAAAAATCCTGACAAGTTACACACACATACACACACACACACACACACTCATACATACATAAGAACAATTTCTTAAAATTAAACATCTGCACCTGCAAAAAAAAAATTCCCAAGTTCATATCCACTCTCGATAGCCCTTAACCATAGACAGGATTTAAAGGACTCTTCTCTAAAGACACCACTGAACCCCGGCGAAGTGGAGGATTTAGCATAAGTACCTTGCAATCGTTTCTACTCATACATAACTCTGTGTAAAGGCATCTATCTCCCGGAGCTATCTTTTCAAATCCCACAGAATTGCACATTCAGCAATTTATAAATAACTCCCAGTTCCGAAACAATGAAAATTCTAAAGTGAATAACATTTCTAGGAAGAAGCAAGCAGTACACAAATAAAAGCAAATCCCCCAATGATTTCAAAGAGTAAGAAATATTTACCTTCAAGGAATCACAAAAGCAGCACTTAAATAATTGGGTTGGAAGACTGCTGACTTTTCCCATTGCTTGTGAAGTGCAAAGTCTGGAAATGAATTGGTTAGCAGGAATAATGAGGCAAGAAGAAATCCAGAGAGATGGGAGATGTTGAGAGCAATGTCACATTTCAATTTTGAGGACTTTATTCCATTGCGCAGGCTCTATCTGCTCTGAATTTAGCAGTGACAGTGAGGTTTAGCAAACAGAAGAGGGATTTAGAGAAAATCCTCACATTTATCTACAAAACACAGACACTGTAGACAGGAAACAGCTGGGGGAACATTTGCCTTCTCTCTCTCTCCCTCTTCTGGCAAAGTTATCGAGTAAGGACTTTTTTGGGCATGGTGACAAATAACATCATACCTTTGCATTTTAAAACTAGAGCACAGAAGCATTTTTTTTCTCTTAAAAGAAGGTGTGTTAGTGACAGGGTGAGCAGATATTAAAAATATTGATGCTACTATAGGAGATGAGGATCTGTTCTCTGATTAACTTTCTCCTGGGCATGAAGACACACATCTGTTAATACACCTTATCAGTATTAAAGGAGAGTATGTGGCGGGTGGGCAAGCAATTTCACATTCTAGCAAATGCAAAATAAAAGAGTGAAGCAAAGACACCCCAAGCAAACCTACGATTTTAACCCTGAAGTGACTAAGGTAGACTCAGTTGGAAGACAGCACTGGGGTGACCCCTTGTCCTACTTGCCAAGCCAGAAAAATGATCTCATTTCCCAGAACCTAGAAAAGGGGCAGGCAGCGTCGCAATTGGCTCCCTTTAGGAAGACACCGGTTCATGCTTTTTGCCCGAGACAGGGCAAAGACTTTGCTGAGCTGTAAAGCCAACTGAAAAAATAAAATCTTTTTTTCTTCCTTCTTCTACTAGGCTGCCTATCACCCGCCCCCCCACCCCCGCCAGGGGAAAGGACAAGCTATTTTCCCATTGTTCATATTTTTCTGCATAACTTGAAACTGTGTGTGTGTGCATGTGTGTGTGTGTGTGTGTGTGTGTGTGTGTGTGTGTTTTCTTTCTCCAGTGTTTGTGTGTTCTAAATAACACCAGCTGGCTAGCAATGCCCTCTCAAGGGTTATGATGTCATTCAAATCCCTCCACTGGATGAGTGGCTGGCAACATGGCCCAAGCCAGCTGTTTTGCTATTTATAATGAACCCTTGCCTTTGCCATTGAGAATCAAGTTCTGATTGCTCGTCAATATAGTTTGTACTGATTTCTCTTTGGTTTTGTGAGGTTGTAGATAAGAAAGTGGATTATGTAACAAGGTTGCAAAAGTCCAGATAAGACATACCAGTTTCCCTGCATGTCTAGCCAGGCATGGCTGCCCAGGGACGGTGGGAATAACCTGGACCCTGCATTCCCCTCTCATGACTGTCAGGGGCCACGATGATACTGATGCGTCCACTGAAAACAGAGGTCTGCTGGAAGCCGTAGTCTGGAACTTTATGTTGTCCTGTGGATAGAAAGTTGATTGCAGGCGTCAGTGCCCGCAATGGCAAACCTGGCTGGTTTCAGAAGGGGGTTCAGTTTGATCATTCTTCTGTGTAGTTAAAAATTCGCAGCAAGGTTCACCTTCCAGGAAGAAAAGTTAGAAATTATTAGAATTTAATGCAGTCTGAATGGTGCACAAAGTCAGCCTCAAATAGTGAGTGCCTACTATGTGCCCAACTACATGCACCATGGTCATGGCACCATAGGGCTCTCAGCTGAGTGGCAGAGACAAAGAGGAAATCGTCACTGTCATGTGGTGGGTATCTTCTCTTTTAAAAATATGAACAGTGCACATGGTGGGGGAGGAACAGATTCTCTGGAAAGACAGGGAAGTGAAACCCGGTTGAAAATCCAGAATGGGGAGAAGGATGGATCATGAGAGGCTTTGGGTACAAGGTTGGGAAGTTTTAGTGGATACGATTTGACCTGAAGAGAATACAAATAAGCATCATCAAGAGATGGCCAGGTGTGTGGGCAATTCCTGTACTTTAAGAAAAATTCAAGGCTTCCTTTAATGATATCCTCTTCATGCATTTAATTTATAACTTGATGTACCCAAAGTCTCTTTTTTTCTGCAGCTTTTGCAGATCACCTCCTTTGAGAAAAACAAAGTCTATCCTCCTCTCATAGACTCTGATGATGAAATCGTATAACCAAAGAGCTGCACCTATCTTGCAGGTAGAAAGAACTGCCATTCCACCTGCACAGTGTCAGGTACTGGCTGGAGTCTTGTCTCTGAGCGCCTTGCTCCATCACCAGGTGAAGGCCAGGACTTTCCTATTATAGCTTTAGCATATTTTAATTGTCCCAGGATATCCTAGGAGCTCACTGCATCTTTCCAAAGCTGGAACCCGGTCTGGTATACCCTCTGGTGTGCCCTGGGCAACCATGGCCTGTGAAAGGCTGCTTCAGGAGACAGGACACATGCCATTCCATCAGACTCTGCGCTCCTGTGATATCGACATACTGACTCACAGTGTCTTGGTTTCATAACCCCAATTACCCTTAAAGGATAATTGAGTTTTAATTTATGTCCCAGTTTTTATGTCACAAAGAAAACTGAAATTTCAGTGAGTCGTAATTATCATCAGCTGTGCTGTGGAAACACTCCAATGTGAGCTCCCAGTTTCCAATAGGGAAAGCAATTTCCTGAAGTGATTACTGCATATTTCAATGTGGGGAATGGTCTATATGTCTGGGTAGGATGAGCCAGCCAAAGAACAGGGCAGTAATTTCCTAGAGAAATGGCCATATTCTCTGCTAATTCCAGAGTCAACATGAAAATGAAAGGGCAATAAATATGCCACATAACTTTTTAAGGACTGAGCAAATGAATGCACCTATTACTGGAGAGTCTGAGGTGGTAGTAAATCTAATCTCCAGGACAAGTTCAGGTCATGGAGTCTCACTGGAGAGAACATATGGGCTCATTCTAAAATGACTGAAGGACTGTGTAGTCTCCTGCCTGGGACAACCTGGCAGCTATGGGAATTGTGTGCCAACAAAATAGCTAACTGCACAAATGTGCTCATCATGAGAACATACACTCCTGAAAATTCAGATTCACAGTTTCACCTTTTGGGTGTATAATGCCTAGTGGATATACATGCTCTACCCTAAAGCCTACTCCTTGAGTAGCATATATGCAGTAAGCTGCTGCCTCAGAAGATTTCTGATGCCTTCCTTTAAAAATATAAAGTTGTTCATCTCCTTAAAGCACAGGCTGAGTGAGAGTCACAGAAAAGGGGTGAGCAAGGCCCAGTCCCCACTCTTACTGCTCGAGCCATGTTGCCAGCCTTCCCCATGCCAACTGCAGAGGAGCTGATCCAAAAGGTAATTTCATACCCATGTGCAATAGGGCATATTTACAATTTATTTTATTAATGTTTTTGCTGACTCCCAAGAAAAGCTCAGAATGGATATTTGGAGGTAGGAGGACTTTGGAACCAAATAAAGGGTGAGGTCTAAGGTTCTAGGGCCACCCACCAGGCAAAGAACTTGGGGAAACTATTGGACGTGTGTCCTGGATCATGGTTTGTGGGGAGGGTTGGTCTGGGAGTGTATTCTCCAAAGTTTGAGATCAAGAGCTTGTCAATTCAGAATGTAAAACTCAGAGGAAAAGGCCGGATCTCAAAAATACAACATGCTGCCGAACAAGGGGACTAATCTCAGCTCCAAAGATCTGCTCAGAAGGGGCTCTGTTATTGCTCAGAAAGATCTTATGTAGCTCAAAGGAGTTGCTTTAAACCCTTACAGGAGCATTACCCCCACAGCTAGGGAAAACCGTAACAGGGAGAAGAAATCCTCTCACTAAAGAAATCAGTGTGTTCTTTTCAACATCAAACTTGGATCTTATTTCTTCTAAAATGTCAAAAGGGCAAATGCTGAAAGCAGTCAGAAGCAAAACTGCTGTGGTTTGGGGGCAGCAAAAGAATTCTTTGTAAAGGCAGACGAGGATTCACTGCATGGGGCGAGGATGGCTTGGTGGAGTGAGAGAATCAGAGGATTCACCACAATTGTCCCAAGTTGAATAGAAAATGAGGAAAGGACACATCACCTCCGAACTTTAAGGGCTGTACCCACCAAGCGCTTTTTTTTGGAATAAAAAAAAAATATGTACGCCCTCTAGTGGGCTGAGGGGAAACTGCCACCGTAATCTTAACCATTGACTTGGCCGTTTGGAGAGAGTGGGCGTTTTGAAAAGCTCTGGATTAAAATATATGTTAAATTGCACTGATCTTTAGTTTTATGAATCATTTTAAAATAAAATAATCTATGTTTTAAAGAGGGGAAAAGTGCGAAGGGGAGAAAGAAAGATCATCAACTTCGTGAGGACTCAGATGTATTCTTCACAGCAGGATTCCCCACGTTTAACTCCTGGTATGGGCTCAAAATACTGTGTTGATTGAACCAGAGTCTGGAAAATCGATGATGATAAAGGTAAAATGTTTAACATAAAGAAGAAACTCTCTGAGCGTGAAACGAACAATTCCTAAAAAGGAACAAAGAAAAATAAGAAAAGTGAGGGAGTGGGCAGCAAGGGTAGACAGAAAAGGTACTTATTTAAAATGAAACAAATGTAGGTGCTCACGGATGGATCCTAAATCCAGTCTCCCTGTCTGTTCAGCATGTTCTACCACATCAGTATTCAACACGTGCGCTAAAACTTTAATAGTTAAAGACACGCCATCTAAGAACCACATATGTGTGGAAGTGGTTCCATTTTTAATGATCTTTCTATCCTGAATTTACCAAGAAGGAATTCTCAGTTTGGTAGTAGCCTAGGTTCCCTGCCTAACACTTGCTTATCTTCCTTTTTGAACAACAGCAAACCAATTAGCCAACCAAACAAACAAAGACACCTTAAGCCCAAAGGCTTAACAGGCAGTAGTTTTATGCAGAATTTAACAGTACTGTTTTTTGTTTTAAGAATTCATTTTACTTAGGGCAAGTGATGTTGTTTTGAAATAGACACTTTAAAGTTTTGAAAATATCTGTATCCAATTCTTAAAAATTTAAGAAAAATACTTTAAAGTAAATAAATAATATTACAAGTGGCAGACAGTTACGATGAAATGTGTACAATTGGTGTTTGAATGTCTGGTGTTTGGGATTACTGCAGCATAACATGTCGTGCATTAGGGGACAAACTACCACAGTGAAAAATCAGGGAACAAAGACC